CAGTTAACTAGATTTGAATTCATTTAAGCGCAGTGCCTGTCGGACATAAGACTTTCACTCGAGTTTCTCGATGGTTTTAAAAAAGAAAAAATCGATCAATAATCGCGGCCTTTAGTAGATATGCAACCGATCTTCCTGGTGCGATAAGAACAGCGGAAAGTTATGCTTTGTCTTCGATCGAATCTGTGTAAAATGATGTCGACTGACTGTGGTGAATTTGCGTTTAGAAAATGCCACGAAGCAAGCAAATTGGAAGCGAGCCAAACATTGAAATAAATGGCGATTTAGCAATTGTTGACATTGAACTTTTCCAAATCAGCCGATTCGATTACCGTTCCCAATTCGATAATTAGCAACAATCGAAGGAAGAAGATGCAATGGCGAATTTGCGGCGCTCTTGGAACAGGAAAACAACAAATGCCTGCGGTGATATTCAAATCGAATAGATGGGCCTTTGTTACTAAATCGTGACGCTCAAGCAGGCATTCGTTTCGAAACCGAATCAACACATTTAAATTAGTAATTTTCATGTTAATTGTGCGCATCTTCCACGTTATATCATCATCATCATCATCAGGGTATTTCATCAAAATTTAATTGCGCGGTGTAAGTTTCGATGCATTGTTTGCGCGCGTTTTGAGGGGTTTTGGGTTCAATTGTTTCCCAAAATGGATTTCAAATCGCGTTATGTCATACACGGTTTTATATATGGCAAATATGCAAATTCCAGCCAACTATGGCAATAATCGCATTTAGATTGTTTAGAAAATAAATGAAAATTAACATTCCGGCCGCGATGAAGAAATCTGTCGAAACGTTTCGTGAGACGGCTATTGTTATGGGAAATGTGCACATTTTCATGGATATCTGCGACACACTGTTGCTGCACATTATCGATTCCATTGACTTTGCAATCAGCTGCCGCTATCTAGGCCTAAAAGTGCCACACTTGCCCGATTGCATAACAGCATTGCTTTTCCATCGTCGATATGACACCAATGGGAAAATTGTCTTCATGATCGTTTCGGCCTAGTCTTCCACTTGGGGCGAAAAATTCGCAGGTTTGCGCTAACGCCCGCTTTAGCAGTGGCAAACTCGATCTGCGCCTTATATGGGCTTATCACGTTGCATATCTTTTAGAGTGAAAGTGAACGCATTGCAGGAAGCCTGCTCTACTAGCGGGCCGAAAAGGGCCTGGGAATATGCCACAAAATGCGCAAAAAATGATTTAATCGAGCCAATGTCGCGATTTGTCTAAGGAAATTGTCGATAATGGGTTTGATGAAAAAGGTCGCGCTTAATCGACTTAACGTTAATTGGTGGAACCACCACTCAGTCTGGCGGATGGAAACCCGCAAATCGTCCCTTTAGCCGATCAGTGGTTAAACCCGACTCGGACAATAGTAAGAGGCATTTGACCTAGACGTTATGCTATTCAACCCAATCAATTCATAATTATTTCAATTGGCCGATTCTAGATCCTGCTTTCAGCCAGTGGACGGCGTTTTTTGCGCAAATCACCCGTGCTTCCGCTTGTCGAGTTCACCTGTTTCGGCCAGCTAAACCAAACTAAAGCAAAAACCCAGAATTTCGTTTTATTCTTCACACACTCAGGTACAGTCTCCCAGCAAAAAACGTGTAAAAACTAGCAAATAACGTCGAAAACCCAACCCCGTCCCCATCCACACAGAGGTGAAAATGCAGTTAAACCAAGCGCTTAATGGGGAAAAATCAGTTTTTTTTAACAACTAGCGAATACTCACTTTCCAAACAACGGGCGTATCCAGCAAAAAATGATAAACAAAAATCGCGCGCAAAACCGCAATGCGACCGGGCAAGACGCGCAAAACCACCGTTAGTAGCTGGTTGTACCGCAAATCGGTAACTGGCCGCGGTGGTTCTTCGCGTGCTTTGCACGCTACCAGACCCAATAGTAGGAGTCCCATCAATTGCACTGTGGTGGTGGCGAATCAGTCTTTATCTATGAGCGAATCCGCACTTTAGTACTCGACTGGAACTAGAGGTGTGCGCTCCAAACGCGCATAGCTGAAGCATGACTCAAATTGCCCAAAAGCTCTAAGTGCATATGGTTGTTAATCGAAAAGCAATAAGTGCGCGGCCTTGCCGCGCCCGGTTTTTTCAGCCACTGAGTGAATGAAGAAAGATCGGGCGATTAAGCTGTAGCGAAAGGTCACAGGAATGAAGAACGGCCCATACAGCCGCAACGTTCCAAAAGAAGAATGGATGGCTAAATCCCACAATTGTGTTTCAACGACCGCAGCTCCGGTTGCGCAAGCCACCCCGATTAGGCAACCGCTTGACAAATTCGCGATCGTCAAGATAATTCGCCTTTTAACATCGGTAAAACGCTCCAGTACCCGGCAATTTCGGCTGGCGCGTGGGCGATTTGCATCTCAATTAAACGCTACAGTCCATTGTTGAAACCCCGTCCCATTAGCGCTTCAATGAGCCAGCGAGTCGCTGAAGAGTGCCCAAACACTCCACAACTACGCTCAATGGTAGATAGTAAGCAGTCTTGAATGAAAAAGTAGATCAATTCGCCTTTAATCAGCGCGCAATGCCAATCTCGCACTGGCCTCGATTGCCCAACTCCTCAATGACCGTCATTAGCAGCAATCCCAAACGCGTTAAAAAAAGTCTGCAGCCGATTTCCGAGCCGGCACCGGGATCTTGAGCAAATCGTCCGTGGAAACTTCCTTGTCCCCCATTTTCTTGATGCCCAAATCCAACTTAGGGGTCGTGGCCCTTTTGGGGGTGGGCGTCTTGGCCAGTTTGGGCGTCTGGGGGGTCCGGGGGCTCAGCAGACCGGCCCCTGGCAGCTTCAGATGCGCTGTGGCCAGTCGGCGCGCCGCTGGCGACATGCTGGCCAGTCGCTCTATCGTCGAACTGTTCGGCCTGGGGGAGGGCCTGGAAAACACCACTGTTCAGTGCGGTTCGTTTGCTGAATGCCTTGAGCCTTACGTGCTAAACTGGCGCCTTTGGGCGTCCAGAGCCCGCTTTTTCTGGTCGCGGTTCTTTTCTCCCACTCTCTCGGCTAGAGCAAAGGCGAGCTGCTCCCTGCGAGGGGGCTCAGACATTTTGAAAGACGGCCCTTTCGACCTGCAAAGGTTTGTGTGAATACACGTGGCGAAGTTTGCGAAGCGTTAAATACCTGGGCAGTGGTGTGTCGCCCCCGTCCAGCCTAAAGGGGGTGCCCTCGATCTCCCCCCAGGTCATCAGGGGGCTTGCCAGCAGGCTGGGGGACGGCGAGGGCGAGCGGATCAACCTAAACCCGCCCACTCGCGGCGTTTCGGGCTTCTGCAGCTCTTTGCCGTCCACTCCTATTTTGCCATCCAAAACCTGGAAAACTGTGGGTTAAAAAACCTCCTCAATGGCCCTCCTGGGGTTACCTTGGCCTGGGTTTTGGCCAGCTCGTTGATGGTTTCCTTGCTCTGCACCTCGTTGAACGGGTTGAGCCTCAGCCTGGTGTTTTCGTAGGTGATCTCCTGCTTGTCCTTGATCAGCTTCAATTCCTCCTCTGCGCTTAACTCGACCCCATCTGGATTGAACATCAAATAGTTCCTGTTCTTGTACCTGCAAAGAGTAGGTAGTCCTGCGTAGTTGCACATTATACAGTTGGAAGCAGCGGGGCTTACCCCCAAGTGTCCAGGTTCAGGGGCTTCTGGACTGGAGCGGCCTGTTGTTGAATGGAGGGCAGCGCCAGCATTTTGCTCTGGCTCTCCTCGCTGCCCTGCTCAACTCCGTATAGATACTTGTACTTTTCCTGGAGTTTCCGCGAGCTGGTCTCAAGGATTTCCTCAAAACTCTCGTTGTCTTGCGACGTGTGCGAGTTGAGGTACTGGTCGAGGCTCAAGGGCTTGGTTGCCGGTTGGCTGGGAATCGCACTGCTTGCAGCTGCGCCTCCATTGGCCTGCGGGATGTCCTCCTCACTGCCGTGCAGGTTGTTGGGGGTTTCAAACGTTGCCGGACTGGGCACTAATAACATTATTTGTCAGGGGGCAACTTCACTCATTGTCGTGCCTCTTACTTCGCTCTGTTGGTGGCCTGCGGCCACTGTACTTCATGTAAAGCTCCCGCAGCCTCACTGTGTCGTTCCTCTCCATCGCGTCCAGGTACTCGTTCTGCGCCTTGATTTTCTCCAGCTCCGGAAAGAAGTCCCTTTGGATGATGTTGGCTATTTCCTGGAACATGGCTTTAAAGCAACCGACTGGTTAGGGGGCGCCAACTCACCTCCACATAGGTCTCCTCCTCCAACACCTGGACTTTGGGTCGCTTCCGTGCGGTTCTGGTGGGCACTTTGAACACGATCTCCTTGTGAATGGTTTCCATCACCTCAATGGCTCTTTGCCCCGGGGTATTTTCCACAGAGTCGCTCATTTTTTGCGATGTTTGCGTGTTATTGTTTTCTGTTGGTCTGTTCAGGTTAGGTTGTGGTTGGCAGCGAGGTTAGGACAGCTGATTGCGGCATTGCCATAGCCGGCGGTCAGTGGGCGCGGCCCGACAGGTTCAACTTACTTGGCCTTGAATTAAATCAAAAAAATTGATTTGATTTAAAAAAAATAATTTTCCGTGGTCTTTAGCGTCCTGACTGGCTCTAAAAGGTTAATTGAAGTTGAGTGAATAGCTGTGAAGTTTGGCTCCTAGATGGCAACTGTCGTTCTAGACAACAGATTTTCTTGGCAGTTGTCAAAGTCGTTCATATACATTTGGTGCTGGTAAATGGTTTTTTGGAATTTGGGGCCTTCAACGTCCAGGTGGGTTCCACGCATTGTTTGCCTATTTATTCTAGACGCGCCCCCTTTATGGCCGCCTTTATTGCCGCCAGATTCGCGGTGTTTCTTTTCGAGCGAGCAAAGAACAAAAAGAGGCTGAGCGAAACAACGGACGATAAATTAGGCCGCCGCTAATAAAACAACAACGCCAACCGTATATAGCGTTTTGTTCGCATAAAAAACCCCCGAAAAAGAAATTATATGGCTCTTGGCCGGCGAACAAACGCGCGGATGTCGCAGTCATATGTCTTTCAATGGCCCCTTACGAGGTGCGAATAAAATGTTTAGAGTTTACTTTAAATCGGGAAATATTCGTTGTATGGAAATTTATGTGCCATGGAGCGAGACAGAAGCAACGCCACATGTGGACAGCATGCAGGGGCGGCCTGCGCGGTTTTTCCCCGTTCGTCTAGTTGGGCTTTTTTCTGTTCGAAAGATGTGCTGATTACACGCACTTCCAGGCCCGGTTTCGGACTTCTTGGCCCTCATCAGCTGGGTTTAGGTGAGTTTAATCGGTTGTTTCTGTTGGTTTTGGGCTGACATAACAATATTTGCGGCAAAGCATCAACATTCTTGGTCCAAATCTCTCTCTAGATATGTTTATAATTACATCGGAACCCTAACGATGCCGAAAGTTTCATTGTCAATGGTACAACAAATTAATAACGAATCAGGCGAAATCAATTTTAAGGCCCACTTGAGCTTTATCAGGCAGTGATTTGCCTCAAGTAGGCAGGAGTAATGCAAAGTTGATAGGATTGAGGGTTCGACGAGAATTCCCAGGCCTGGCGTGCATCAGGTGCTCAAGTACCGCTCTCCAGGTCCTAATTTACGCTTGGTTTGACATTGTTTCTTCGACAGTTGATTAATTGCTCTCTTTGGGCCATAAGAGGGCACAATCCTTTTGCTCTAAAGTTCCTGTTCAAGCTCAATTGCTCTATCTGGGAATATCAGAGCTGCTGCAAGTGCCAAGCTAGAGGAATGTTTGAATGACTTCTGAGCTGAGATGCAGCTCAATGTATCGAGTGTTTGAGTTAAAGAGAAAACATGTTTGATTCTTGCGGATCTTAAGGGTAAATCTTCAATGAGCTGGTTGCATTTTTCGCGTCCGCGCCGTGTGCCACCCTGTATGTTGCCATCAATCACGCGAAATGACACGTGACAAGTCGTCACACGCTCACTTTTAAACGTCTCCCTTGCTAATTAATCATTAGGGAAACATCAAGGCAACTGTGGCGAGATGTTCGTCTTTTTTGCGACGGCCAACATGTCACTTTTTCCCAGATTTATTGCATTTAGATGACCTTTTACCGGGACCTGTTCAATAGTGAAAAAATGACAGACTGATTCGACCAATTGGCTTTCATTCATGGCACGGCACCAGTCGATCGATGAAAAACTGACTGAAAAACAGGAAAAAACTCCCGAAGCCGATATATCCGAAAACATTTTTCAGCAGCTTCAAACGATTTTCGACGGCCAATGACAAATTTATTGAATTTATATTCGTTTATCCGATTGTTTTTGCAGTAAATCTTTTCGAGCGCACTGTTTATGCGGGATTGGTCGGCTTCAAAGAAGACAATATTTTAGCGTTTCTTATTGTTTTGCTTGAATCGCGGAGATTGAGGATATTTTATAAATCACAGCCGCTCCAGGGTGTAGAACAGGCCCCGTCAAAACAGGGCGTTTATCATCTTGAGTGCGATTGATTTGCGCCGCAGCCGCGAGAAAAAATGCGATTTGCTCAATCGGGCCCGTCCAAACTGTCCTCGTTTTATCGTCGAGCTGGCCGCGCAATCGACCTAACACAGACAGGTTGATTTTGACAGGCACGTCTTGATGTCACTGCGACAAGTGTCATCTACGCGCGGTCAACTGTGACAGTTGCTGTTTTAATTTTGACTTTTTTCGCAACTGGGTACGAAAGAAGATGTAATCCACTCATGCCCGAAACACCCGGAAAACTCATCAGTTTCAGGCAACAACCGCAAAAATCCCTTGTGACAATTGGGGCCGTTTTCCTACGACATCCAGGGTGTCCCAAATGCAGGGGCATGCTTGAATTCAAGAAGTTTTAGGGTTGCGTGGTTTTTTTTTGTTGCAAAATCTCATCAAAGCGAAATTTGAATATAATTTTTCCAGCATCAGAGCCGAACTGTAAACATTGTTACAAAGTGCATCGCAAGATGTCTCTTTTCCTGGAAGGGACAATGATAAAGCGGTTCCATATGGGCCCGGCTGACGCCATGTGCAAAGAGAATTTATCAATATCTGGAATGAATCGGCGCCTATTTTTAACGCACTTAATTTTTGGCAGATACGCGTTAAGGAAAAAAATCACCCCGATAACAATTTGTCCTGGATGTGCAACACATCCAGACCGATTTACCCGTGGGCCACATGGTTTAAGGGCCCAATAAATCACCGTATTTTTGTCGCCTTATGGGTCAGTGGGGTGGAGATTGGCTCAAAAACAGCAGGGACAATGTCCGCGCAAAACTATCGATTCGGATGAACTTCGGATCTACGCCCCTGATTTTGTTTCAGGTCGGCTCTCAAGGGTCTGGAAACGTTGTCACAACATAGGTGGGCCTCCGGGCCACCAAACAAAGCGGACACTTGACTCGGTGATTTATTCGCTGTTTACTTTAGTTGACGTAATTTGTCGTAAATTTTACGGGTTAGGCCACTTTTGGGACACTTGTTAGTCGAAGTGAATATATACGGGAGTCGTCTGGAGAATATCTTCGCTTTTTATAGCGCTCAGCCTTTCGAATGGTAAATATGCGGTTTTATGCCCCACTTGGATTTTTAATGTTAAACAAATGCCAAAAAATCGGGCTAGATGAGGGTTTTCCTAAATTGGGTGCCTTTTTCACTGTCCGATTCATCAGATGAAGTGTTTAAAGTTCAGCGATTGATTGCATATTGGACAGTGGAGATCTAATTGCAGGATGGTTGTTTTGTCCTGGGCAGTGGTGAAGAAAAAGAAAAACTTTTTTAGCTACCAGGCTTTCGGCAATTTTTTGTCGCCCTGCTCAACAAAATGAACGTTACAAGCCCGACTGGGCCCCTAGAAAGTGGATAAAATCTGATTGCTTAGAGCGATTTGCTTTCTGTTTGCAGCGTTTTGAGCCCCTGGCAACTGAAAAAAGTTCGGCAGGCTCCTAGTCGAACAAAAAAAACTGTTTTCTGGACCTTAACATCAAACGTTTCAACATAAACGGAAAACCTTGCAACAGCGTTTGAATTTGCCGGGCTCTAGTCTTTACAGGGTGGTCCCAAAAAATCAAATACCTATGGTGTAGAAATACTGAAAAAACTTTTTTGTTCAACGATTTGGCACTGTTTCATTTGCCACCCGGTAGAAAATTTATCGGAACCGCTATTTTTGTTGCAAAAACACCCGTCAACCGAAAAAGAAATGTCCAAAATCACGCTTCTAACAGAATCGAGTTCTCTGATACCTACTATCAGAGAAGTACTAGAAAAATTTGTTTTTTATTATGAAATTCGCTTAGTTGAAGAGAGCACTGAAAGCGCACTGAGTGTAAAGTGAAGATTTTTCCAAAAACTCTGCCAAACTGAAAGTTTTTGACTTTTTTCGGTTTTTTGCAGTGTTCTAAAAAGTCCTTTTCGAGCAAATGGTTAAAAACTCATTATTTTTGACATTAACCATCATACAAACTAGTGGCTGGATTTTTTTGTCACTTTTCCCCGTACCTGCACAAATTTTCGCAATTGAGGCGATTTTTTTCGAAACTGTAGCGATTAAATTCAAACTCCGGTGCCGTAGGCGAAGTCTGTCTTAAATTCACACAAAAAACCGTTTTTCTGTCTTTTCTCCTTAACGCGATTTTTAACTGAAGAAAATCACTCTCGGTGAATTGTTAAGCGCAAGTGGTTGAAGACAATAGGGAAACTTCTGTCGAAAAGTTTGCGAGAAGATCGGAAAAAACAGATAATTTTTGACTCGATTTTAGCTGGATTTTTTAGATAACTTTTCCGAAATCAACACGTATTTTTTCCGAAACTTTAGAAATTTATTCCAAATTTACTGACGCTAAGGAAGGCTCTGCAACATTACCCTTAAACATCAGTTTTCTTCGTTGGCTCCCTAACGAAACCTCTAATCGCGAAAAAAAACAAAATGTTAGCTCGCTTTCCTAAAACGCGAGAGAAATGGAAAAAAATCAGTTGAAAGAATTTGCCAAAAAAACTAATAGTTTTTTCATTTTCAGCATTGCAGCATGTTGAACTAATAGACTTTTTCGGTTAAATCCCTCACAATCTGAAATATTTGCGTCGTTTAATCGTTTTTACGAAAATAGCCACTTTTTTACTGGATTTACGACAATTTTGCGCCCAACTAAATTTAAAAAACCGACACTTTCAATCCTTCACAAACCCGCTGAAGTAATTGCAAGTGAAAAATTCGCTTTTCCCTTCAAGATTTGATCGCTTAAGTGCAATGGGATGGTTAGAACGCGTCACCACCGCAAGTTCGAGCTGAAAACCGCACGCCATCCGAATCGAATCATTTTAATGAAACTTATTTTTCCATTCAGGAACGTGGCAAACATCGGTTCTCTCTCTCGCACCCAACGGGTTCTATAGCTGATGCCCGATGGTCGGCGCGTTGCTACGTTCCAACTTGACACCTCCATCGCTCGAAAAATTCAGTTTTCAGCGTGACAAAGTTCGAAAAAACATTTTTTTGGCAGTTTTCGATTACTTTGCATGTTATTAGAGAACACGCCAACATTCGTTTAGCGACTAGTTTTCAAAAGTAGCCAAAAACTCCAAAAAATTGGCCGCAAACGCATTCTCCAAGCCGCACTTTGTGAGGGTCAAATCTGGACTCTAATGTGGGGGGTCAACTCGAATGTTTAAGATCTGCACTTGATTTAATCGCTTTTACGGAAATAGTCCTTTTTTACTGGATTTATGGCAACTTTGCGCCAAACTAAATTAAAAAACAGACACTTTAAATGCTTCATAAACTTGAGGTCCTGAGGAAGGCGACAATTAATTGCCGAAAGCCTGGCAGCTAAAAAAGTTTTTCTTTTTCTTCACCACTGCCCAGACCGAATTCCCAAGAAAAATCAATCATCCCGCAATTAGTCGATATCGGTCAAGAACCTGAACGTTCTCCCTGAAAGCGTCTTTGGTGCAAGCCAACTTGTCCCTACAACTGACGTCGCCCCTGTCAAATCGTGTAGTTCCTGCTTCAATTCGTTTTTATATTCGGTTTCGCCCTCTACTGAGTAGAAGAGTGGGCGTTCAGAGCCGCTCTGTGGTTCCTACGCTCATTTTTTGCGGTTACTGAGTGATTGAATGTGGGGAATATTTCTGAATTGCAATTTGAGCGCTGTCAATTTGGACGAAGACCGCCTGCACCATCGGGTTTCGTCTCGGATGCTTCTTGGATATTTAAACCGTGGCCAAGCAGCAAAATATAAATTTTCCTTCCAACTTGCGGCCGCATTTTCGAAAGAGAATCCTCTTGCGCTTTGCCTTGATTTAGAAAAGCGTGTGCAATTGAGCAAATGCCGGAAAAAGCTGCGTATGATCAAAAGCAAAACTTGTCTGTGGTTCAGAACGTCGATGGACGCCCATTGCAGGCATGGCGCTGATAACAACGCAACCACCATCGACATACTAACTTTCCTGGTCGGTTTTCTAAATGATCGGCGACGATAGGACCATAATCAACCACCGTCCTTGCTGGGAATGCGACTTTGATGGCACAGTTTGCTGCCAAATTTTGCTTAATGAACTCGTTTCAATCGAGTCGATCCACAGCCTCCTCAGCGTCTCCTCCCACTCACTGGCGCGCTCGAAAATTAGAACATAAATCACCATCTAATCGTTTGTTTATAGAGCGCGGGTTATTTTGCTAAGCGAAATGGCAACTTGTGTCAATCGTCGAAGTACCTTTTCAAAGTAACACCGAGTATTTCGGGCCGGTGTCACTCAGAAATACACCCGGATAATTCGAAACCCATTAAGCAGCGATTTTCGCTTCGAATGCGACTCAATCTGTCGGTTTCACTGCATGACTGATGGCACTCTCGATTTGAGACGACTTTGGTTTTTTCTGGTTGTTCGCATTGTGGCCTGCTCGATTTCGGATCGGATTTGACACCTGTCACATTTGCCATTGCATCTCTAATAGGTGGGTACTGCTGTCTAATTTCCCAGTAAATGGGCTGCTGAATAGACACCAGTAGAGTATCGAGTTACTGTCCCCGTAATCTATCATTTGCCCACCCTGTTTCGACAAACAACTTCCCTAATGACACCGTTTGGGTCGTACATTATTTTTTTATGGTTCGCATGGAGCGTTGTCGATGGCACTGACAGACGAATTGATGGCTCTCGGGCATGCTGCATTTGGGTGGGCGGGTTTCGTCGCCCAAGATGCGGAAATAAAACTGCAAAAATTGCTACACGTAATGGTTTTAATAAATAAATAAATTCCCACCGTAACTCGGCTATGTGATTGGCTTACGCACTATTTTTGGCACTGTCTAAGGCGATTGTTCTAGAAACTAGTAACACAGAAAATGTACATTTTTCATCCACCTACGGGAAGCTGGGGAACGAACGCGTCTACAAACATGGTTCATTCCGCACCACCCTGTAGGTTAGCAGCTAAGTTTGAACCGCTGAAAACTACGTGTTAACCGTGTTCTATACATAATACTTCTTTGGTTGCGAGTATTTGGTGTCTATTAAGGCACAGGGATTGGATACTTTTGGTTGGTTTTAAGGCACTTTGGTTTAAATGGCGCACCCTGTAGAATGGGTGAAACCCCCGGTTGTAAATGTTTGTCTATTGGTCAGAATGTCGATGGGCCGCTTGTACAGGGTGGTCCTCTACTAATGCCACAAAACCAATGCGCTTCAGGCCAATTTGTTTTCTCTGAAAGTTCGTAGTTTCGGAGCTATAGGGTGTCACAGTGTCATTTCCTTTCATAACGTTTCGGCGAGACAACAGCGCCATCATCAGATTTAAAATCTATACAAACTTATAATTGGGAAATATTAGATTCTTTTAGGTCTTTGCTGTCTTGAAACCTCAAATTTGTTCGAATTATTGTCGACATTTGCCTGCGCAGCAAGCGTATAATACCGATATCGACTAATTGCAGGATGGTTGATTTTTCTTGGGAATTGCGTTTGGGCAGTGGTGAAGAAAACGAAAAACTTTTTTAGCTACCAGAATTTCGGCAATTAATTGTCGCCTTCCCCAGGGCCTCAAGTTTATGAAGCATTTAAAGTGTCTGTTTTTTTAATTTAATTTGGCGCAAAGTTGCCATAAATCCAGTAAAAAAGCGACTATTTCCGTAAAAACTATTAAATCAAATGCAGATCTTAAACATTCGAGTTGGCCACCCACATTAGAGCCCAGATTTGACCCTCACAAAGTGTGGTTTGGATAATGCGTTTGCGCCCAATTTTTTGGAGTTTTTGACTACTTTTCAAAACTAGTCCCTAAACGAATGTGGGCGTGTTCTCTAATAAGATGAAAAGTAATCGAAAACTGGCAAAAAATGCTTTTTCGAACATTGTCACGCTGAAAACTGAATTATTTCCAGCGAGGGAGGTGTCAAGTTGGAACGTAGCAACGCGCCGACCATCGGGCATCTCCTATAGACCCCGTTGGGTGCGAGAGAGAGAACCGATGTTTGCCACGTTCCTGAATGGGAAAATGAGTTTCATTAAAATGATTCGATTTCGATGGTGTGCGGTTTTTAGATTGAACTTGTGATGGTGATGCGTTCTAAGCATCCCATTGCACTTAAGCGATCAAATCCTGAAGGAAAAAGCGAATTTTTCACTTGCAATTACTTCAGCGGGTTTGTGAAGGATTTAAAGTGTCGATTTTTTTAATTTAGTTGGGTGCAAAGTTGCCGTAAATCCAGTAAAAAAGTGGCGCTATTTCCGTAAAAGCGATTAAACGGCGCAAATATTTCAGATTGGGAGGGATTTAACCGAAAAAGTCTATTAGTTCAACATGCAACAACAAATGTGGAAAATGAAAAAAATTATTAGTTTTTTGGCAAATTCTTTCAACTCAATTTTTCCCATTTTCCCTCGCGTTTTGGGACATTTTGTTTTTTTCGCGATTAGAGGTTTCGTTAGGGAGCAAACGAAGAAAAACTGATGTTTAAAGGCAATGTTGCAGAGCCTTCCTTAGCGTCAGTAAATTTGAAATAAATCTCTAAAGTTTTGGAAAAAATACGTGTTGATTTCGGAAAAGTCATGTAAAAAATCCAGCTAAAATCGAGTCAAAAATTATCTGTTTTTTTTTCGATCTTCTCGCAAACTTTTCGACAGAAATTTTCCTATTGTCTTCAACCACATGGGCTTAACAATTCATCGAAAGTGATGCTCTTCAGTTAAAAATCGCGTTAAGGAGAAAAGACAGAAAAACGATATTTTTGTGTGAATTTAAGACAGACTTTGCCTACAGCTACGGAGTTCGAATTGAATCGCTAGTTTCGAAAAAAATCGCCTCAATTGCGAAAATTTGTGCAGATACGGGGAAAAGTGAAATTCAGCTACTAGTTTGTATGATGGTTAATGTAAAAAATAATGAGTTTTTTGACCATTTGCTCGAAACGAACTTTTTAGAACACTGCAAAAAAACGAAAAAAAGTCAAAAAGTTTCAGCTTGGCAGAGTTTTTGGAAAAATGTTCACTTTACACTCAGCGCGCTTCCAGTGCTCTCTTCAACTAAGCGAACTCGACATTTATAACAAAAAACAAAATTTTCTAGTACTTCTCCTATGCCAACAGATTTTCCGCAAAAGACTCTCTAAACTCCACCGTCTGACTGATTAGCTCACGCAAAGTGCAAAAAAACAGTCGCCTCGTTTGTTGGGCGCGCCTTCTACACTGCTCAACCAAATCAGCGTGACCCTCACGAATTTGGACCAACTTTGCAACTGAATAAATCTGATTGCTTAGAGCGATTGCGATTTTGTTTGAAGCGTGATTTTGGGCATTTTTTTTTTCGATTAACGGGTGTTTTTGCAACAAAAGTAGTGGTTCAGATAAATTTTCTACCGGGTGGCAAATGAAACAGTGCCAAATCGTTGGACAAAAAAGTTTTTCAGTATTTCTACACCACAGGGATTTGATTTTTTGAGACCACCCTGTAAAGAATAGAGTTGCCCGGAAAATGCAAACACTGTTGCAAGCTTTTCCGTTTATGTTGAAACGTTTGATGTTACGATCTTCGACATTTGCCTGCGCAGCAAATGTAGACAATAATTCGAACAAATTTGAGATTTCAAAACAGCAAAGACCTAAAAGAGTCTAATATTTCCCAATTATGAGTTTGTATGGATTTTAAATCTGATGATGGCGCTGTTGTCTCGCCGAAACGTTATATGACATAAACGATATGAACATTTTTATATCCCAGGAAAGAAAAATACAATGACTATTACACGCAGTGAGACAAATAAATCAAAATTTCGTATTTCTACCTAAACAATAGAGTGCGTTTGTCTCATTAGTAGAGGACCACCCTGTATACCTAGCGGAGTCGAATTGGCCACAACTTGTAGGTGAGAAATCAAGCAAGCGAAAGTGACATTGACAACAATCGCTCGGCCCCCTAGTTGACACTGACATTGACATTGACGTGCGCACTATCGCGGCGCAAAATCGTAGCCACTTTGATGGGCACTGGTCAGGGTTGCCGATCGGAAATTTCCATTATTGTAAAAGCCCTGATAGCCGCCGTACATGCCGCGACCGAAATTGGCAGGTCGCATCGACTTGTCATTGGTGTAGACCGCATTGTAGTTGTGCAGAATGTTGTGCGGATGGTAGACGGGGCCGTAGTTGCAAATTTCCGCCGAGTAGGGCTGGGCGATCGGGCTGAGGCCGGCACTGAGTATGTTGGACTGGAGCAGCGCAGGGCTGGCCGTCTGATTGGTCGGCTGGTACCGGTTCTGGAAGATCATCGAGGGGTGGGGATTGTGCAGCGCGTCCGATTGGTGGGTTTGGGTCGGTGCCGCGTGCTCAGCGCCCTCATCATCTGCAACGGAATGTCGGATTATTTCGGGCCCTGAATGGTTTCGTAAACAACTGGTTCTGGCTTGTTTACTCGACTGACTGATCGGAGCAAAACCAACGAAAAAGTGAGACCAAACGGGCGTCCGCACTGTAAACACCGCTCGGTAATGATCTTTGAGGGGAGCCGTAAAAAAGCGACGGTTCGCGAGTTAGTTAGTTTAACTGTCAGTTACTTTAACTGTCGATTTTGACAGGTTAATTTCGAGATCTAGACGAGATGGGCGCGATCTCAAAGTGTGTTTAGATTGCTGTAATTGCCAGCTGGAATTTTACGACGATCTTGGCTGCCGCTTCTAAGCATCCATGCATTTTTTCCCAGTTTCCATAAACAAAAGCCAGCAGGAGGCCGGCTGGGGATCGCAAATGGCCCCTTTAACTTCAGTCGGGCTGATCTGGTGGCAACGACGCCTACTAGACTTGAACTGCAACCGAGCCAAAAAACTGCCGGAGGTATTTTGAGGGCGGCCTCCTGCGATAACACATTAGTTGGACGTTTTATTGTTTATTAGGGCGGCATAAACACGCCGGGCACCGGCCCGCTCGTAACTTTCCGGTTCCGCTTTGAAATCGAATAAAATCGATTTTTTCTCGAAAACAAAACATTAACCGTCACTGTTTACACGAAATTTCCTCTAACTGAGCTCGAAATTGGCTGCATCCAATGAAATAATTACGCTTCGAATTGTACACAAAGGCGAATTTACGATTGCGGAGTTATTTTCGAAGTTATATACAGGGTGGTTCAGAATTGGCATCACTCCTCTGGAGGTGTTCTCTGGGGGTGACTTGGGAGTACAGAAAAAATAGTTAAAAAAATTATTAAAAACTGAGAAATTTGCAAAAAACTATATTAGTGCCCTCCCAGTTAAGGGCTTAATGTCTTTAAATCTCCCTAAAGAAGAGGAAATTGCGCGCTTTTCGAGACGAAGCCCATTTCGTACAATCTCCGAGCACAAAGCGACGCATTGTCGACATCCGTTCCTTTCAAAGCCACAGTCTTTATTGAATTAGCCTTATTTTCCCGTACAAATCTGTACAGGGTGATTGATATTTAACCCCATTCTTCTCAAGGCTTTATTTAGAAGAACCCCCAAATTGTTTGTGTCATTCAACCCCATTGATTTTAGAACAGTTTTTAATTTCCTGGTACATGTGAGCAATTTTCACCAAATTCATCCACTCTCCCCTAAGTAAACGAGAAAACTCCCCATGCTTGTCATTATGGTGTGACCAAATGTTGCGCGAACGGGTTGTCAGTGGCTGCAGTGTTTTTCGAAAAATCGCCAATTAATTGCCAGTTACYCAAAAAAACTGATCAGGTTCAATAACTAGACTGTCTTGGCTCGCGTTTTTCACAATTTTCTCCGCCGGATCCAACGTTTTTCTCAGTTAAAGCGCGATTTGAAAACTGACGTTTTTTTGACACTAGAGGTTATGCGTGTGTTGAATGTTGGAAAAGAGCGCCCGCACAATTGACTTGATTTGTTCCGCGCTTAATCAATCCTCGCATCATCAGTACCCAGAGTTTCGGCGCTGTTTTTGCTGTTGTTGGTTCCGTGAAAGTAGTGAAATGACGTTGACGCATTTATTCCAGTTAACTGCAGTCATGGATGCTCAGGTTTGCTGCACTGGTGAGTTCAAACCATTTCTCACTTAGTCAAATGTAAACGTTGTCGCTTTTTGCCCGATATTTTAATAGTACAAACCTGCCTGTAAAAATTCATAACTTGCAAACTTCGGCTTGCTGTAAATGTGGATTAGTTTTGCTAAAAAAAAGAGTTGGAAATGTCATTCAACCCCATTGATTTTAGAACATTTTTAATTTCTTGGTGCCTTTTGCAACAAATTCAACCACTCTCCCATAAATAAACGAGAAAACTCCCGATGCTTGTCATTGCGGTGTGACCAAATGTTCCGTGAACGGGTTGTCAGTCGCTGCAGTATTTTTCGAAAAATTACTAATTAAATGCCAGTTACTCAGAAAAATTGATCAGGAACAATAACTAGACTGTCTTGGCTCGCGTTTTTCACAATTTTCTCCGCCGGATCCAATGTTTTTCTCAGTTAAAGCGCGWTTTAAAAACTGACGTTTTTTTGACACTTCAGGTCATGTTTGTGATCAACGTCGAAAATGCAAAAATGGCTTGATTTGTTCCGCGCTTAATCGATCCGTTACATCACCAGTGCACATATTAGTTTATGTTGTTTATGTGATAATAGAACAATGAGATGGGAGTTCCTGTTTGGATTAACGCCGTTCATCGATCATTCGAGTAWTTTGTTCCAAAAATTCGCAAATTTTGCATCTCACTTACATTCTGGAACGCGGCTCGCATCGGTTATCTCACTCGCACACATAGGAACCCATGACCGCGGCAATAAAGCTGACGGCTACTACGTTCCCACTTTACGCCTTTGCGCCTCAAAACATAGCTTTCGGGCATCTTTGGACAATGGAAATTCCATATGCAAGCCATGCGAGTGCAAACGCACCTTAATCTCATTTTTGAACACTGCAAAAGCCTCGAACGTTTTCACGGAACTTGCCCTTCTTTGTATATGTATGTCAAGTGTCAACGTCGCGATTGGCGCGCTCCAACTCAAAAATCGATGGGTTTGCAACCGAGGCGGCGGACAAACGATGCTGACGCAGGCCTAATCACGAAACGTCGGGGCTAATTGGGCGGTTCAGACCCTCTTAGTAGGCACTAACTATCTCACCTTTGGTGCCGCAACTGTTTGGGGTTGATCGGGACGTAGTTCGTTGGCGCTGCTGATTGGACGGACTGGACACTTCGGGTGATCTGCAACAGAAAAAATCAGCTAAATCCAATTAGCAATCACGCTCAATTGGGGCGAAATCGGGCGAATCGGCGGGCCCATCCATCCAGCCAAGTGGCAATTAGGACATGAGCATGTATTCGAAAAATGCCGTAACAAACCGTCTACGAAAAGGGAGTCATTTGTAAGGGGGCCGTCGGGTGTCGGAAGAAGATCGATGCGACTGAATAGTTGAGGGTTATTAATCCCGCCTTGGCAKCCACCACCCGAAATAGATCCGGCTTTGCTGGATAAAGGCGGAAAGTGTGATCGCAAATTAGTCGCCTGAATCGGTGCAAGATTTTTCTGAAATCCMAACAGCGCAGTTTTCGAGTGGAATGAAAGGTTTTTCAATCACCGTTTGGTCAGCTATGCACCATGTTCCCCTGCGGCAAATCTCGTAGGGRAACCTTGGGCAAAACGGGACCAATGGTAGATAGATCAAGTGTTGACTGTCGTGCCTATTGAAAAATGAATAAAAGGGGGCGCCAAGTCCGAAATAAACGGTGCCGTCGGCTTCGGCCACAATTCATGTCCCGAAACGGCTTCCGCCACAGATTTAAGGCGACGCTTCGGCTTAAATTTGTCACATCAGCTTCACTCTCGGCGAGTTTACGATCAAATTAAGTGAAAATATTCGAAAACCCGCTGAAGTTTATGGGAGGCTTTTGCAATTAAGGGGTCGTGCGCTTCGAATTAAACCACCGTTTCCATGTCACTGTTCCCGACAGTTTGACGTTCTTCATGTTGCTGGCTGACGTTTAAACGCTCCTAAGAGCGGGTCGATTCTTTTGCTTTGCTTGCACGACACTGTTCTGCGTCCACAAATTGGTTCAGTTCAGTCGTTTTTCCTTAGCGGCTCTACGCCACTGAGGCCGGTAAATTAATTATAAAATTCCCGCTCCTTTCCAGGGAATCATTAAGCGACTTGATTGCGGCCCATTCAATTGGCCCAATGTGGAAAACAGTCCATAAACAAATAAATAACTGTCTTATCGCTGTGCAAACAGCAACACGGGGGATTAGTGGGGCTTTGCCTTCACTTATTACAGTGGTTTGGGCCCCAAAGTGGTGCAGTTTTTCCACTCATCTTAGCAAGTAGGTCTTGTACATTTTTTTGCGTTTGGCACTGTGGATCAAAATCGCATAAAACTGATTTTTCCAGTCAGGAGCGTAGCTGGCCTCGGAGGTCTCTCTCGCACTCATAGGAGTGCCGATGGCCTGCCGGTTGCTACGTTCGGACTTGATACCTTCACGCCTTAAAATGTTTTAGTAGCGATTTTCAATAACGATTGCACCGCAGTGGAGAAACGTCAAAAGTCAGTGGAAACATCTGGACATGAAAACCCAGTTAATTTTGTTTGGTTTTCCACGTAAAACCGCGCAGAAATTAGGGTCGATTTTAGGATTTTTGGCTATTCGGGCATCATCGGTAGGGATTTGGTCTGGACGTTTCGCTTGCGCGCATCATTGGCATCTTCAGGCTGGCGTGCGCCGCCCAAAGTTTAGTAGTAGAAGCCATCATGCTCGGTTTAAGTCTATCAATTAATAACCGTTAGAAAGCAGACAGAGACAGTGACTATCTTCTGATAGACGCGAATAATTGTCTTGAGCCTGTTGACATTTTATGAGCAGTTTAGTGCTTGTCACGGTCTACTGACAGCTGTCGGGTTAACGATGGTTGTGTTTCGAGGCTATTTTCGGCCCGGTGATCTATAGAGTGTCTCCAAAATGGAGCATTTACGAAGCAGAGAATGTGGGTCGCTCGGTAATTGTTCAGCTTAATTATCAGAGAATAATTGTCAGTAAATAGTCGCTGCATACAACCATAATTGCGCCTCGGAGCTCAGTTTCTCGGTCCAAAACGCGAGAAATAAATTGATTTCTCGCTGCCAATGCGCCGCAAAGCGTCCAAAGTTGCAAAAACAAACCGAATCGCAGTGGGACACTCATCATGTGTCAGTTTTCTCAATACCCAAATTGAGAAAGCAATAGACTGATCACTGAATTTGCCCCAAAACTATGACAAAATGCTATATATTTCGAAGGCATCAATTTTTTGCGGCAAATCGCCATCGAAAAGCGCAAAAGTTACCCGGAAGTTCTTGATTTCTCAATACAAAAGTAAGATAAGTTTACCCGTTTCTCAACTAGTCTTTCACAATAGCGAAAATGAACAGCGCCCCAGTGAGGCACTGATAATTAGACGTTTTGACTCAGAATTTTATTTCTCAGTACTTAATTTGAAAAACTACGTGATTTCTCACCGGATTTTCCAAAAAAAATCGCTCGGGCGAACAATTTATAGTATAATTTCTCAATCCAAAGCGAGAGAAACAAGTAATTTTCTCAATAAAACTACTCTAAAATTGCGAAAATGGACAGTTTCTAAGTGAAATACTAATAATCAGACGTTTTCACTAAAAATTTCTCATTTGATTTTAGATTTCTCAATACTCAAATTGAAAAACCGCTCAATTTCTTACTGGATGGGCCCAAAAAAATCACTCGAAGGCGACGATTATTTCGCCGAGAAATTTCTCAATCCGCAAGCGATAACAATTACTTTTCTCAATCCAAAACGAGAAAAATAAGTCAGTTTCTAACGAAAAATCCGCACAAAAGTTGCGAAAATGCAACCGGGGAATGCAACGATCAGGTGGAAAATGTTCTTGAGGTTTCAACGTTACAACAATATTTAATTTTTTCTCGCGCATAAATTATTTCATTTACACGAATATTTGTAAAAGTATGTCATTTTGGTGCTGAATAAGCTGATTTTGTCGTAGTTCAGAACAGTGATGCAAGATCGGTAAGATTAAAATCCCCAGATGGTCACTTAAAAAACCCCTAGATTTGCAAAAAAATATAAATAAAAATGTCTAATAAAAAATGGTAAGTGAAGCTAAAACTTTTATTGAAAACCGTATATTGCAAAATTTTAAAAATGCAAAAAAATGTAGCTCATAATTTTGCTTCAATTTGTATTCTTCTTATTTATTCTTTAAATTTAAACGAAAAATGTTTAAAATCCTTTTTTTTGGCCTGAGAAAAATCCCTAGATCTAGGGAAAAATTCCCTTGTATGGCATCACTGGTTCAGAACTCGACTAGGGTTCGAGATGCAACTTTTTCTGGAAAACTACCCTGATCTTCCACGGATGATGGTCTTGACCTTTTTTTTAATTTCGAAAGTGTATTAGTGGTCATTTTAATGGTATGTAAAGGCTCCTTTAAAATGCAGGGTTGCAGGTTAACAAGGTGCTGAATTAGTGATGAGA